AGGACATCTTTCTGTTCTTAAGAATTACTGAGGATCTAAAGAGCTTTTGTTTATGTGAATTATATCTACCTGTGTTCACCTTAGAAGTTAAATTGAAACATTTAAAAATACTTGTCTTAAAATAACAATAACACATTCATTATATGTTAACATAAATAACTTCATTTTTATGAAAAACAACTGTATTTTCCCACATAAATTCAGTGAGAAGAATGGCATTGTTTAACATTCTACAAATCTTTTTAATATTTGTGTCAATGGAAGACAGCTGGATTCTCATGTCCACTTCTGCATTCCATCTGTTGCAGTATCTCACTTCATGTAGCCTCTGGGAACCTTAGTGAAAAAGGCATGGACATCTTAGAATTATCATGAAAATAGTTTTGAGACACCTGGGTGGCCCCGTTTGTTAAGCATCCAACTTCTGCTGTAGTCGTGATCTCACAGTTCATGAGTTTGAGCCTCATGTAGAACTTTGTGCTGACAGCCTGCAGGCTGTTTTGGGGTCTATGTTTCCCTCTCTCTCTGCCCTTCCCCGGCTCACACTCTGTCTCTCTCTCTCTTAAAAATAAATAATAAAAACATATTTTAAAAAGTTTGAAAATAGTTTTGACCTGAAAGGATATTGATTACCCCTGGGGACTTCAACCCTAGCAAATACGTAAAACTCTTACATGGCTATGGGGTGACACACTTTGTAGTCCTTAAAGGCCCTTCCCAAAGAAAAGTCTTAATTTATTTTGCTGTTTAAAGAAATTGATAACAGTGATTGCTTATTGTCAAGGTCTTTTCCTATTTTCATTTCTCTGCAGGTCAGTGAGTACTCACTGAATGCTAGTGAATAAGTTCCAAATTTAATAGATGTTAATATTAACTTTTCTAGTTAAAATTGAAGTGTTTGAGAGCTGGAAATGCTGAAAGAGAAATTCATGATATCATCTGCTCACCTATGAGATGAGGACTTCCGGTTGTATATAAAGACAATTTTAGGTGAGATAACTTGAGGTAGTACATAGCCAAGATGTTAAGTAACATTGAGTAAGGTGGTGAGAAAGTTGTTTCCTATTGGAATCTCTTCCCACCTGGTTACATTGAGGAGAAAGTCTCAGTGTGTATTTGTTAGTATGGCTTCAATATACCTTAACTAACTTGCAGTGTCTTTAACTAACTTGCATATTTTCCAATTTAACGTAAGGTTAGCCTAAGTCTTAGAGCCTTAGGCTGGCAAGAGTGTCTAGCTAGAATTTAATGACTGTTAATTGTCTAATTTTTATTATTACCATCTACTTAGAGCAAGTTATGTTGGTTTTTAAGTTTAATTTATTTAAAAATATTTAGTTTTTAAAAGTACATTGATTTAAGGAAGAATAACTAGTAAATAATCATATGAGTGGTATGAGAAATAAAGTGAATGACTGAGGTTTGGGAAAAAACTGAGTTAATTCGATTTTCAATTTGTGAAATCAAAGCATAGAGAAAATGGACTTGATGGAAGTGGCCACAGAGATGCTGGCCTCTTTACCGTCCATCAAGAGCTCTTCTTACTACAGCATAAGGAGTGTTAAGGTCTAATGTTGAACATTTCAGCATTAGGCCCTACCCCTGAGGTCAGACAAATCCAGGTTAAAACCCCTGCACCATTCCAGGCTGGCTGTGTAATCTTGGGCAGAAAGCTAGGCTTCTAACTCCTGGGTTTCTTTACTTAGGAAGTCAACATAATTCCTATTTCACCTTAATATTTTGCCAATATTAAATGAGATAATATTTTCAATGATTTAAAATGGCTCCTGGCAACTCAGTCGACAGAGCTATTTTTATTAGCCGAGTTACTCTCAGTGAACTGCAGAGCATTTGGAGCAAAAGAATCTTCTTAGCCAGGGCTTGGCTCCAGTGCCTGTGAACTGCATCTGCCACTTGGATCCTTAATTAATTAAAGGCTGGAAATCATTGCATTTCTCTGGAGAGGACTAACACGTCTATGGTTGCAGGGAATGAAAGGTAAAAAGGGTTAGCTGGAAAACTTGTGCAACCAAGGGTTAAAATAGCCTTGAAGCTAAAGGAGACGAGTTCTGGCCTCTGGTTTGTGATGCAAAGCCAAGTGTGTTTGCCTTTGTGAGCCCAGGAATGCTTCTGGTGAGCCTTGTTTGTTGTGGAAACTGACATGATCAAAGTGGAAAGAATTAAAACGATCCATCAGAATAATAGTCAAGGCTGTATATGGACTCCCCAGACAGAGACTTGAACCTGAAAGTCCCCACTGAGGACAGAAAAGCCGGCTGACAGCAAGCAGCTGGAAAGGAAGGGAAAGTGCCTCTCTAGGCAGACGTGTGCAGCTGGGCAATAAAAATCCCCAAGTCGGGAACTAGATTTGAGTTTGAGTTTGGGGAGATGAAATGGTGAGATGGAGTACAGACCTTGTGTTCTTTAGGAACCTTGACAACAACTAGGCTGTGGTTTTCAGGTGTCTGTAGAGTGGAGTTACTAAGTGAAGCAGGCACTTTGTATTAAAGCATTTGGGGTAGGAAAACTGCTAATTGTGATGGAGATTCTGTGCCAATGGCACAGCTCTAAGTGTTGGAGGCATTATGTCATGCTTCTCCCCAGAGCAGTCTCCAAATGTTGAAAAATTTTCATTATGATTAAGTAGAATTAAGAGTCCCTAAGTGGCTGGCATGATTTTGGATTGTTTGCTCACTTAGTCCTTTATCCCAGGATGAGGATTAGTTAAACTCTTTGATATTCTATCAAGTATGAAATGACCTTGGAGCCCCAACTGTTGCTAAGTTAGGATGCCTAATGGAGGCATCCAAGGAATTACCAGACAGAAGAATGGGATAAGATCTTAAAGAAGCCCAATCCTACTTCCATATTTTAGAAGTGGGGAAACAGGCCTGGAGAAGGGAAACAACTTGCACAATATTACATAGAGCCTTCTGCTTTTCGGGCCAAGGCTTGCCTGTTGCTATGTCAAGGAATCCCAGAAAATGGACCGTTAGTTTAGAATAATACCCACAAGAGGTAGTGTCACAATGTGGGCATATGTAATTTGAGATACTGAAGGGTTATCACACTTTTAATTTTGAAAATAATAATGATCTTGCTTTTTGTTTGGGTTTTTCTTTGTATATATTGGCATGTTATTTTAATCTCTGTCCCTCCCAGGGCACATTTTACCGGGACTCTCCTGGACAGAGGCAGGTAGATGCAGAGTGAGGCTTTTACAAAGATCACTAATACTGGGCCCAATGAGATAATTTGATAATCATAATACCTTATACTGAACGCTTTACAAATCACAATGCACGTTTTAATCTCTTCTTTCATTAATCCCTACACAGTCCTAAGAGGGACTGCAGAGCAGTTATTACCACCATCCACCTTATGGACACACTAAGCAAGAGCCTGACCACTTCCCCTGGGTCACAGGCCCCAGAGCAGGTGAACAGAGCCTGGCTGGGGGCTCCAGCCTCCCAGGACTGTGAGGTTGGGCACCCCTCCCACTGAGCAGTGGCCTGGGTGCCTGGATTCCCTAGGGTGCATTCTCTGAGCTCTTGACTTGATGGGAGTTTCAGGAAATTCTTTTTTGCAGGATTTGCGGGGTTTTTTTCCCCCAGAGGTAGGGCCTAGAAGTGGAGAGAGGTGCTCAGGAGGAGCTAGAGCAGGTAGGAAGGTGGTGGAAAGTGGTGGGTTGAGGGAGTGGGTGAGTAGAGAAGACAGCCTGGAAGTCTTGCATCTAAAAAAATAAGAACTGGGGTAAGGGTCGAGTGTGTAGACTTCAGAGATGAAATCCCAGGAAGAGACTCCTCCTTGTCCTTTCTATGGGGTCCTAGCATTTGCTTACTTGAGGAAAACGTTTGACATTTGCATTTTTTCTTATCTGCCCTCCTCCAGGAGGGTTACCCGAGGAGTTTGTGCTCACAGGCTTCCGGGGTGCTGGGCCCCATTTGGCAGGGAGGTGGGGGACAGCCCATAGGCCTCCTGTGGATCATCCTGGGGATGGGAGGAGAAAGTCAGCCTAGAATCAAAGCAGTAAGAGAAACCCCGGGGGGAGGGGAGGGGGTATGGGGCTGCCTCTGTTCTTGGCCGAGGCTTTGCCCAAGCTAATTTTCCTGCCAGGCCCTAACACAGGTACCACCACTTTCCCACCCTTCTTCTAGATCGACTCCATCTCTAACATGACTAAAGGAGGAAACCCACAAAAAGAAAGCTGGGCCCTCTAGGTTTCTGTTTGCTTTGGAAACCACTTATGAAACAAGAATTGGGGCCCACAAATGTGGCCCCTCAGGAATGACCCCCACCCCCACCTCCCAACTCTAGTTGAGTTACCAAATGAGGCCAATTCATTCTCTGGAATGTAGCAGCCCAGGCAATGATGATTGATACTGACAGGGAAGCTTTCATGTAGCAATATCCCCGGCCACCGGCTGTGAGGCAAAGAGAAAGAACTCTCTGGAATTCACAACATTCCCCCTCCAATTAATCCCCAGCCACCCCGCTGTGTGTGAATGGGTTGTGCTGGGGATTCGTAGCTCTGATGCGGGGGATTTGCTGATTCCTTTGAGCCCCCTGAGGAGAGGTGATATGGAGAGCAAATAATCAGCATGCAGCACGGAGGCGAGGTAATGAATTGGCTCGGCTGGGCCTGGCTTCACTATTTGTACACTTTTAGGCACCTCGGAAACTAGGTTTGCAGACAAAAACCTGTGCTGAGGGGCCCTCAACCCCTGACCTTTTGTGGGCCTGGACCCCTGCAGCCTCTCCTACTAGCTTAAGATTGGAGCCATGTTTCAGAAAAGAGGAGCCAGAGGTAAAGTGCCCTGTGCCCCATTCTGACTCCCCCCCTCCCCCAATGGCCCCGTCACACACCACCCCAGTCAGGACTAGTTTCACTCTGTTTGCATTCGACTGAATTGCGATTTTCAGTCTAAGTCCACTGCCTTTCAGAATGCTGTTTATTTTCCACTCATAGCTCCAGGCGCACCTCTGTGAAGCCTTCGCCCCTGGCAAGTTTAAGCTGTGGCTTCTTCGTACTTGCAGAGCACTGTGACGGGCCTAAGGTATGTTCTGTTTTGCTGGAGGAAGGATCTGTCTAGGTCCACGTCGGTGCCTCCCGTAGTACTCAAAAATAATAATAGTGCCTGACTAAAAATAATAACTAACATTTGCTGAGCACTTACTATGCGGCGGGCACTCAGGGTTTATATGCATTATCACGTTAAATCCTCACGGGGGGGGGGGGGGGGAGGTGTCTCAGAAGTAGGTGCCATTCTCTGCTTTATTTTACAGAGGACAAAGAGGCTTAGAAATTCCTAACCAGCACGGGGTCACAGACTGGAAGTGGTAACTGGTAAGTAGGAGGAGTCAGAGTGCAACAAGGGTCTGTCCCTCCGTATAACCTCTGGTTCCCACCACCCCTCGCTTTTGTTTAGGCTCTGGTTGCTTCTCACCTGGAGTGCCTGCCACAGATCTTCCGGCTTCCAGCCAGCGGAACTTCAGCCCCCTCCGCACTGCAGCCGGGAGGATCGCTCTAGGAGGGACACACCGATGGGTCACTCCCCTCCTAAAGTCTTTTTTTTTTTTTTTTTTTAATAGTTTATTTATCTTTGAGACAGAGAGAGACAGAGCGTGAACAGGGAAGGGGCAGAGACAGAGGGAGACAGAATCTGAAGCAGGCTCCAGGCTCCGAGCTGTCAGCACAGAGCCCGACGCGGGGCTCGAACCCACAAATCGCGAGATACGACCCGAGCGGAAGCCAGACGCTCAACCGACTGAGCCACCCAGGTGCCCCACCCCTAAACTCTTAAGAGTTTCCCCAGAGGACCTAGAAGAGAGTTCAAATACCTCAGCTTAGCACACAGGCCCCTTTATGATCGGGCACCTGGAAAGAATTAAAGATTGAGGAGATAATCCTAATAACCCTTTGGAGGAGTCTGCTGGGTGAGTCTCTTTTTCTGAGACTCCAGGGTCCCCTTCTGGGCCTGGCTCCACAGGGCAGCTTCCACTCTGACCCTGACCTCATCTTGTCATTCTTGGCTGTTGCTACTATTTACTTGCTTTTCTGGGTCCCTTGTCCTTCATTCAGGATAGAAGGTTTTGGATGCAGATTTTACTTTTGGTTCCACGGCAGGTTTCATTTTTGGGAATTCATGATGAACACTTTTATTTTTAAGGATTTTTGTTGCCAGGGACCACAGGACACTAGACAAAAATTACGACAATGTCCCTAACTATTCGATGCTCATTGTCAACTAATCTGAGTTTTCATACTGTGCAGGCCAAGAAATTGCATTTTTGTACACTGAATTTGGGTTTTCCCCGATTGGCTGACAAATGAGCCGCTCAGTCTCTCCCACCGGTCCCTCCTGCCAGTCCCTGTGTGGTGTTAGCCACAGCATTTTTGTTTTCACAGCAGTGCTACTATAATTATTTAAGCATTTCATTATAAGCTGTCCTTCTTTTATACAAACACATGTAAAACTGAAATAGTCAATATTCTATGCACCAGTAGTTACTGAGATGCTGTTATAAATGGGGGACTGTGGCAAACAGGACAGTTAAGGTCCCTGCATTATGTGATTTATGTTAGGAGGGCTGAGAAAGATCATGTACAAACAAACAAATATGCAAGATCACGGTTAGCAGCATAAGGAAATAAAACAGGGTAATGTGATAGAGAAGTGGTGGATGCTGCTTTAGATTAGTGAGAAAATGGGCTTTCTTTTCTTACTGTTTGTTTGTTTATGGGGGGGTGAGAGGGAGAGAGAGAAGGAGGGGCAGAGAGAGGGAGAGAGAATCTCAAGCAGGTTCCACACTGTCAGCCCAGAGCCTGACCTGGGGCTCAATCCCATTAACTGTGAGCTTGTGACCAGAGCCAAGAGTCAGATGCTCAACTGACTGAACCATCTAGGTGCCCCTAGAGGAGAGGCTTTCTGAGCAGGTGATATGTGAACTGTGACCTGAAAGGTAAGAAGGACCCACCCATGCAAATAATAGGAAGTAAGGCATTCCAGGCAAGTGCCAAGGACCTGAGATGGGAAGAAGCTTGTCTTTGAAGGCATAATAAGGAAGCTGGAGGATATGGAGTATTTTGAATGAGCAGAAAGTGGGATGGGAGATTAGGCAGGAAGTGTGAGCCAGCAGATCTTTAAGATCTTGTAGGCCACTGGCTTTCAAACATATTTTCCAGAGGAAATACATTTTACATTGCATTCCACTACACACACACACACACACACACACACACTCACACACACACACCTGAAAGAGAAGTTTCATGAAGTAATATTTATTTTTTACTACATACAATAAACTCTGATATTTTCTATTTTATTTTATTTTAAAATGCTGATTCTTCTCCAGAACTATTGGTTTCACACCTTACTAAATGGCTTCGTTTGGAAAGCTCTGTTCTAGACCACAGTAGAGTTTGGATTTTATTCTTAGGGTAATTGGAAACCTCTGGAAAGTTGTAAGGGGAGAGTAACAGTGTCTGATTTATGTTTTTAGCTTTGACTGCTGTCTCAAGAACAAATTGTATGAAGGTGGATGAGAACAGCAGCAGGGAGATGAGTTAGGAAGCTATTGCATTTCATCTAGAGGAGAAATAATGGTGGCTTAGACCAGAGTGGTAGCAGAAGAGACTGAGAGAAGGGGATGAATATTATAACATTTAGAAATACCAGTAAAGGTGCTTTGGTGAAATGTCAGGGTTAGTGATGAAGCTCTAAGAGTCAAGGGCACATAGATATTTAAAGCCACGGGTCTACAGGAAATTACCTAAAGAGAATGTGTGGCTAGAAAAGAGCAGTAAATCAGATTTAGTAAATCGAAGTCATTAGATAAACTGAAAGTCTCAGGTAGTTATCCATTGGACATAGGATGACAACTGTGTGTTAAATTACAGAGGAAAAACTAAATCTAAGAATATATATGAAATGCTAGCAGTGTATCATCTAAGGTGTCCTTAGGAATTTTCTAATACATTTAATTTTCTGTGGATTGTCCTCCTCTCACATTATTTGCATGACTTCTTGTTGAACTTTTACTCATACAACTTTAGTGTGTTTTCCTAGAAATTCTTTACAAAAGTGGAGACTATCTGTATACCAGATCTTATTCTTTGAGTCTGTTTAAAACAGTGCTCTTATTCTCTCACATTTATGTAGGTATTCTAGCTGAAGACTTTTATATTCTGATTCAACCTAACTTTCTTTATGGGGCTGGAACACATCTATTTTTACTTTTCTTGGTAAGGAGACATCATCCTTTGTCTACTATTTCCTTTTTCTGTTACATAGAGTGTCTGGATGACTTAATTGTATAAGCTATTCCAATAAAAAGAAGATTCTTCCCTCTTTTTCTTTCCCTTTGCTTTCCTTTCCCTGTCCCTCCCCCTTTCTCTTCCTTTCCCTTTCCCTCCCCTCCCCTTCCCCTCCCCTCCCCTCCCCTCCCCTCCCCTCCCCTCCTCCCTCCCTCCCTCCCTTCCTTCCTTCCTTCCTTCCTTCCTTCCTTCCTTCCTTCCTTCCTTCCCTCTTCTTTTTTTCTTTCTCTTTTCCTCAAGGGCAGTGATTTTCAAATGAAATCTTAAGTTAAAGCTCCAGATAGAGAATGAGCAATGGAATAATGATGCCTTCGTCTTTCCTTTGTAGGGACCTTATCAGCAACTTTGTGAAATCCTAAGTTTCCTCAAATCATTACTGAAGTGGATTCATTTCTTCTTTGAGGAGTCTTCAGGTGAGAGGAATCTCTAATGTCTATGAGCCAGTTGTTTACTCAGAGAAGGTAAATAAAGATGATCCCCTGTGACAGGATCACTGATAGTATTTCACCCTTGAGGAATAGTGGAGAGCCAGAGAGCTTATACAGATTGCCTCTTAAGAAGAGAAGCATATTTCATGAGTTGATCAGAAAATCTTGTATGCTCAATGATAAATAATTTAATAAAATTACAGTGGTATGATTTTTTTCCAAAAGGCAATAACATATAATTTAAATAATGTACACTTTCAAATCAGAAACCTTGAGTTCAGTCTCTGCTTTATCTCTTATCAGCTGTAAGCCTGATGTGAGAGCAAATAATGTAACTTCCCTGAGCTTTAGGTTCTTCATCTATTAACTGGGCAAAGAATCTTCCTCATTTGTTGCAAAGATTAACTAAGAAAAGAACATGCAGAGCACCTAGTACCAGCAGTACTTGTCATATAGTAGGCTCTTAACATAAGACAAATAGCTATTATGATTATATTGTTGCATTGCCTACCTTGGTGACAAAGATGAAGACCTGGATCAGATATGACCTCGAACCCTGTAAATGCTGATGAGAGATCTGGCTGACACTGAGAAGGAGCATGCCATGTGTTTAAGGGCTAAGTGAAATGGATTTTGTAATATATGGCTATATCTTGGATGACTTCTCAGAAACTCAAGTCTGTTATATACCTAAGGAAATGAAAAAGCCAAAAATTTCTGGCACCTGGCCTAACGGCCTGGATTCTTTTGAGTCAATATGGTTTGTCCTCTTTGTTCTTATTTAATAGGAGTTAGGTCCTGACCACAGCTCATTTCTACATGACTTCATCACTTGGGACACCTCCTGAGTTTTCAGAACAGCAGACCACAGAGGCTAAACATAACCAAGGCATCATATTTATGGAAATGGAGGTCTGCAATATTAAAACTGAGATTAATTTATTCATTCGTTCATTCACTCCATAAATATTCACTGAACTTTGTGTACTGAGAACACATATGTACAGACACTGTATCATGCTAGTGACAAGAGAGACAAAACCCTGTCCTCATGTGAGGTCAGACAATAAATGAATACATAAATAAAAAAGATAATTACAGGTTGTGGTAAGTGTGATGTGAAAGTAAGCATTGTGCTGTGACAGAGACTCTGTTAGAAAGGGCTTCCCATAGGAGACGGGGTTCAAGATGAGACCAAAAAGCCAGCCACCTGAATAGTCAAAAGAGAAGCTTTCCCCACAGAGGTACCACCAACAATGCTGAGGAGGGAAAAGAGCTGGAAAGTTCAAGAACTTCTAGAAAGCCAGCATGACTGGAGTATGATGAAGGAAAGAAGGGGAAACTTGAAATTTTTCTACGTCTATGGGAAGTCACTGGGGGCTTTGAAATAGGGGAGTGACATAAGCTGGTTTTCATAAAAAAAAAAAATCACTGTAAAAAAGGGGCTGATGGGAGATGGGTAACAGTGGGCGCAGTAGGACAGCTGTGAGGTGACATAGATGAAAATGGACGGTGGCTTAGAGCAGAGAGGACTAGACCGCTTCAGGATACATTTTGGAGGCAGAGCAATAACATTTGCTGATAGTGAGAGAAAGGAAAAAATCATGGTTTCTGGCTTTAGCAACTGTCTGGTGGTTCTGTCGTTTTCAGAGAAAGGGAAGACTGTGATATGATCAGTTTAGGAGTTGAGTGAAGAGGGACTCATATGTTCCATTTCAGAAACATTTAGTTTGAGATGTTGGTGAGACCGGGAGGCAGATATGCCAGAAAGTCATTGGATGTGGAAGAAACTCTAGAGCTCAGATAAACTACTAAGCTGGAGATAGAAGTTTAAGGATCTTTAGAAACTGTTTTTATTTGAAACCAAAGGGATGGGTAAAGTCATCTAGGGAGAGGAAGAATGAAACTGGGCCCGAGGATCTGCCCTTGGGGACTCCAAAATTAAGATGACTGTAGAGGAAAAGGAATTAGCAGTGGAAACTAAAAAGCCATGGCCTTGAGGTAGGAGGAAAATCTTAAGTGATGTCTATAGGGAGAAAAAAACTCTTGGAGAGGTTAAGTGTGGTAAGAGTGAAGAAGTGGTCAACTGTGTCAGAATCCATTTGTAGCCCCAAACTTCTCTATACGACACTCAACAGCACCCACTGGGGCAAGGTTGATCTTGGCTAAATCTCTTATAAGTATCAGAAGGGCAATTTATTTAACTTTTTTTGAAGTCGATATAAGAACTTTATTATATTTTTAATTTCAGCTTTATTGAGGTATAATTGAATTATTTAAACTTTCTGAGTGTTTCTTCATTTACAAAATAAGGGTAATACATACATTTCATAGGGGATTTGTAAACAGTGAATAAAATAACTTATATAAACTATTCACAGAATATTAAGTATACAGTGTTTGATAGATGGCAGTTATTATTATTAAATAGTATTATGTATAGAAATCAGAAGACCCACGTTCCAGTGACTTTGATGTAGACCCTGCATTTAACAACGGTTTTCTTGGGCAATAGTAATAATTTGAATTTCAGTTTCCTAACTAGTAAATAGGGGACAATAGTCCCTGTCCTGCCTTCTTTTCTTTTTTTTTTTAATGTTTTCTTTATTTCTGAGAGAGAGAGAGAGACAGCATGAGAAGGGGAGGGGCAGAGAGAGAGGGAGACACAGAATCTGAAACAGGCTCCAGGCTCCGAGCTGTCAGCACAGAGCGCGATGCAGGGCTCGAACCCACGAACTGCGAGATCATGACCTGAGCTGAAGTCGGACGCTTAACGGACTGAGCCACCCAGGTGCCCCCTGCCTTCTTTTCTTATAGGGCTGTTAGAAGGATTCAATGGTGAAGTGAATATGGGAGGGCTCTACAAGCCATCTAGTAAGGAGATAGGAATTTCCATTTGTTTAGTAGAATTTCTGTTTGTCTAGCTTTCAAATCAGCCCACTGGCTACACTTTAGGGGTGCTGGGAATAGTTTGAGGGAAGCAATAGACAAAACTGAAAAATGAAGTTTTTTAGCTTCTGGGTCTGAAACCCAGACTTCTCAGATTTAAAGTTCAGCTTGGCAGCACTCTGTTTCCTTTACTTTCTTTTTGAAAGGATCCACAAGAATCAAGATATTAATGTAAGTGCAAAGGCAGAATCTCTCTGATATTCCTTTGATGGAAACAGAACGTTCCTACCTCAAGTCCTTTGCACTTGATGGTTTCCTCTGCCTGAAACATTCTTCACTTAAATATCTATATTGGCTCATTCCATAGTCTTTCAGGTCTGCTCAAAATTCAGCTTATCAGACCCTTTTCCAGGCCAGCTGATTTAAATTAGCACACATACTCAGTCCCCTACTCCCCACTTCATTTTCCTTCTGACATGGTACACCCATTAGAATAGAAATTTCTACAAGGAAATAGATTTGTTGGTTCTTTGAATCCTTTATTTCTAATATCTTATGCATATTAGGCACTGAAAAAATACTTGCTGAATAAACAAATAAATTAATCAAAACCTGATGACTCCTAAAGGAGCAAAGCTGTTAGGAGTTTAAAAAGACATGGAGAGATAGAGAGGGGCGCCTGGGTGGCTCAGTCGTTTAAGCGTCCAACTTCGGCTCAGGTCATGATCTCAAGGTTCATGGGTTCAAGCCCCACGTCAGGCTCTGTGCTGACAGCTAGCTCAGAGCCTGGAATCTGTTTCAGATTCTCTGTCTCTCTCTCTGTCTGACCCTCCCCTGCTCACGCTGTCTCTCTCTCTCTCTCTCAGAAATAAATCAAACATTAAAAAAAAAAAGACATGGAGATAACCCTTAATTCTGTCATTCACCAGAATGATAAACTGATCAGTGTCAGTTTCTCTGGGCTATTACGTGGGGATACTGGACTACATTCCTTAGAAAGCTGTGAGGATCAAAGGAAATAAGGAATTTAACTGTAATCAGAGCAAGAGGATTAACATTTATTGAGCATCCTCTACAGGCTGGACCCTTTACCTAAAATCATACTCATAATACTATTGTAAGGCAAGTATTATTTTTTCCCAATTTAACAGATCAATCTGAAGCTCAGAGAGTTGTTACACAATCAGTAGGTGGTGGAGTTCATGTTTTCATCCAGCGCCCTTTATACCCTTTGCACCATGGGCCACTTTCACATGTCAGTAGGTATTTTCAGGTGCCAAATGTGGAAGCCACTGCTGCATATTGAGTTGTCATCAAATCTTGATAAAAGGACAGCAATGTGAAGGAAGAGATTCTGGCAAGTGAAACCTGTCTCCTTGTGGTTAAATCTTGCAAAGTAAACTGCAGCCAGCTCTCTTGAAAGTGCTGTATGTAGTCAATTGTAGGGTCAGTAACAGCTTCCTCAGTCTCTGACTGACCAGGGGTCTTGACTTCTTTCAAAGCCTCTCTGGAGCATTTGGTGGCTTCTTTCATCTCTGCTCTTCAGCAAATGTGGGGAAAAGGGTCTGCACTTTGCAGGCTCCCTTCATGTGCCACAAAATGGAGGGAGAAAGGCCAGTTACAAGCAAAATCCTGGCTCTCTTTTTTCGAAGCTTGTTCTGGCCCTTTCTTTAAAAAACTTATTTACTTACGTACGTACGTATGTATGTATATATGTATGTATGTCTGAGAGAGCGAGTGAGCAGACAAGCTGGAGAGGGGCAGAGAGAAGGAGAGAGAGAGAGAGAGAGAGAGAGAGAGAGAGAGAGAGAGATCCCAAACAGGCTCTGCACTTTCAGCACAGAGCTCTAATGAGGAGTTCGAACTCACTAATTGAGAGACCATGACACAAACTGGAACCAAGAGTCAGACATTTAGCTGACTGAGCCACCCAGGCATGCCTGTTCTGGCCCTTTCTTTTTTTTTTTTTTTAAAGATTCTTTTTAATGCTTATTTAGTTTTGAAAGAGAGAGACAGAGACAGAGTGCAAGCAGGGGAGGGGCAGAGAGTGAGGGAGAGGGAGACACAGAATCTGAAGCAGGCTCCAGGCTCCCAGCTGTCAGCACAGAGCCTGATGTGGGGCTCAAATCAAGAACCATAAGATCATGGCCTGAACCGAAGTCGGAGGCTTAACTGACGGAGCCACCCAGGTGCCCCTGTTCTGGCACTTTCTAATGCATGTTGTAATTGTTGCCCAGGTCTCAGGGAATTTCATTTTTAGCTCTTCTATGTCCCAAATGTCTTAGTAAATGGCGTCTTTTCTCTTCAGGTTTTCTTGGCCATTTGGGTCCAGGTGAGGCACCTGTCTGAAAGGAATGCTGCTAATTCTGACAGAAAGCTCCGTGAATGTAGATTTCTGTCTTGCTAGTCTTCTTCTTCTTTTTTTTTTAAAGTTTATTTTACTTATTTTGAGAGATATGGAGAGCACATAGGAGGGGCAGAGAGAGAGAGGGAGAGAGAGAGAGAGAGAAAGAAAGAGAGAGAGAGAATCCCCTACGGGCTCTGCTCTGTTAGCATAGAGCCCAATGCAGGGCTTGAAATCACAAACCTTGAGATCATGACCGGAGCCAAAATCAAGAGTGGGTCACCTAACCAACAGAGCCACCCAAGTGCTCCTTATTTAGCTTTTGGTTGTACTGATGGGGGAAAGTGGTTTTTCAACACAATAAATTGCTTTAACTAGCAAGGTTTCCCATTTGTTTTTCAGCTTAGGTGGGGGTGGCAAGTCTGGTCACATAAATAGGCTTCTTAGAACAGTAATTCTCACACTTTTCTTGTTCCTAGTATTTTTAGTGGCAGGACTTAAAAAGGATTAAAAGATTTATCTAACAGCAGTAAACAAGTTAGCAGTCATTACCGATCAGTCTGAACTACAGAGAATGATATTGTTTCACACTTTAGTTTTTTATGCGGTATTCCCTTGATCTTCCACCATTGCTGTTGCTGTTTGATAGGAAATTTGACTCCAAATATTCTTTTTTATATACACAGAAGACAATGTTCAAGTGTTCCTGCAAACACTTCTTTCTTTGTAACTGCTTGAATCTTTGACACAACCTTTCCTGGTTCATAACAGGTTTTCCTCTGACTACACTATGTTATACAAGCCACTGAATGCAATGCTTAACTAGTGGGCTTTGTTGAATAGAATATCTTTAGTGATAGCCAAAGTGTATTGGGCATATTGATAAAAGAGTTAACTATACATCTAGATTGTTTTTGGATTCATAGGTGTTCTGCATCATGCTATTGGTAAACCATTGATATTTGGACAAATGCAGTCTAAGATTCTGACTTTCTCTGTTCTCTTTTATTTTCCTCTTTTACATATAATTGCATTTAACTTATGCTTTTGCCACGATAGCTTGTGGGAGGTTTTTTTTGTTTGTTTTTGGGTTTTTGTTTGTTTGTTTTTGTTTTTTGCTTCCGCAAATACCAACCTTCTTTTCTCTGAGTCAAAAAAGGTCACAAAACAAAATATCTTAACACAACTCTGGTTCTCAATAAAATAATCCAGTGTGGAGAAATTACATTAGTGAAAAAAAATACGAGTTTGATTTCCAGCCACTTGGTAATTGGGTGGTGTTGATCTGCCCTCCTATTGCTTCCTCTGTAAAATAGAGGTAATAATATCTCCTACCTGTGAAGAGTGGATGAGATAATATATGGGGTATATGTAGCACAGTGCTTCATCAGGATTGATTTCCTTTTTTTATGGCCTTCTCCTCTTCTGGAAACCTCTGTGTGTCTGCTGGTGCTGCTGTCTGAAAAATTTGGGTGAAGTCTGAAGGACAGAGGAGTTGGAATTGACAGACAATGAATAAGCAAGAGTTAGAGGCTGCCTCCCTGAAGTGGGTAGATGCATATTAACATTATTCTTCATAGGATGTTTAAACACACATCAACAAAATTCTCAGTAATTCCATTCTTTCTTGGCTTGGATTCTTCTAATCCTAGACAGCAGGGCTGAGGAAGGAGAAGAGCAAGATAGGGATATTGGGGGAAGAGCTGATGAAAAGATGCATTGTTAGGCTGGTCATATGTGGTGTCAAGTGTGTCTGTTACCTAATCTCACGAGACTTTCTGAGAGATCATAAAAACCATTGCTTCTTAAGTCAGTCCTTCCAGGGGAGAAAAGAGGGAGAACTTATCCATGTGCTTTCATTTCTTACTGGTCAAAAGTTTGCTTCCTAACACATTGATTCTTTTGCGCTTCTAAGCTGTGCTATGTGGTACCTAGTAGGTCCCACGTCATCTCATCCCTCAGTATCAACTGGAGTAGGAGGCAAGATGTGCATTGTGTGGAGATGTGTAAAATGCTCTTAGGTTGTGCCCACATTAGATTTGTCAGAGTCCAACCAAAGCTTGTCAATATATCAGCTACTGATGCTAGAATAGTGTGGCAACTACAGAAACAAGTGAGGTCAAGAGAACCTGAAGCAACCATAAGTGGTATATGAAACAATCTACCCGCTTGCACTATTCACATCAATCCATGTGCTGTCATGATACTTGTCTACCACATTACAGTGTGATCTCTCTCTCTTTTTCCTTTGGTTGGTGAGAACAGCATGCTGTCAGCTTCAATTGATTCCAAGAGTATAATAATATCATCTCCCTTCTTCTCCATCTATTCTAGACTTCCCTCACCTTCAGTTGTTTGCCTGCTGGAATGATGTGGTTCTCATCCCTGAGGGTATGTATCCATAGTTGCCTTGCCTTTGTCAAGCCAGGGTTGCTAGAATTGATTATTTGCTCAGCCTAAAACCACTGAGAGATCCTGTAGTGAATTCCTGGGTACCTGACACATCCCTTTTTTATCTCTATTATATAGAAGTAATTCTGAATTCCTTCTCATGATAGCAAAGATCAGTTACCCTTGACAAGGCAATAACTCCTGTTGTTTCTTGGTATAAGGGGCTCAAAGTGAACAGGTAGGTCAAGGTCAGCAGGAACCTTTCTGTGTCATGGAATAGAAGCATTCTCCCATCCCACCCTACCCATCTGATCTCCAGGAACCACAATATCTAATCTTGTAGAATCTAAGATTGGAGAGTACATCTTCTGTGAATTTTAGAAATATGGTAAAAGAACTCATTTTATTTTGACCACGTGCTTCCCAGGCCCATGTATTCATACTCTTTAGGATAAAGCATCACTGTGTATCTGCCATTAATCAGCACATACTCTCGATCCTAGAGGACAGCTACCAATCCTGACCTGGTACCTTAGCTGTATGGGGCTTTCTAGTGTTCTATCAGACAGCTTCTCCTGGTGATAGTCTATGTAGTTAGACAAGTGATTCTTTTTTTTTTATGTTTATTTTTTAAAGAGAGAAACAGAGCATGAGTGGGGGAGGGGCAGAGAGAGAGAGGGAGACACAGAATTTGAAGCCAGCTCCAGGCTCTGAGCTTGTCAGCATGGAGCCCGATGCGGGGCTTGAACTCACAAACCGTGAGATCATGACCTGAGCTGAAGTCAGATGCTTAACTGATTGAGCTACCCAGGTACCCCGACAAGTGATTCTTGTAACTGCATCCCTTGTAACACTTCCTTTGGCAGAAATCATGATCTTGCTCCAAGAAAGTATTGTATGGAATACAGTGCTAATAGATCAAGTATTCTGTGAGCCGGTGGATGGTGATGCTGAGGGAAGTGCAAGGGAAGGCAAGTTGACATCATAACTAGATTTCTATTTCAGTAAGACAGAATCACTACCCTTTTCATGGTAGAAGCGACCTCTTGTATTTGTCTACTGCCAACCTTTAGGTTGCCTAAAGGGATGGAGCCATAATGACGGCTCAGAGTTAGTCTCTTTTCCTGGGAAACTGGATACTCACCATGGCAGCAGCTGTAACTGTCTTGATGAGAGGAAGTCCATGCTGTTAGTCCCATCCAGTGTCTTTAGTCGTATTGTGTGGCCATTATGTTGATTGGCCCATTTCATGAGGTTTGAGGCTGCTAAGAAAAGGGCCAAATGATGATATCTAACTGTTGAGAGCCTCCTCTGCAGTGAACACTCTCCAGTGAGCATTGTGGTGAGACACAAAGGTCTGCACACTTCATCTTCACTTCTTTTAATTCATTTACATACATCTTCCCCAGAACTACTTGTGCTTAATCTTCCAGTGTTGTTTGAGGCCCCTTGACAACTAGCCAAGTCATGCAACCTCTTGCCAGGAGTCTAAACATCTCACGTTACATCTTCCTCTATTAGAATTCAATGACCAAGTGTACTGCCAGCAGCTCTGCCCCCTGGGAGTATTTCTCTTCACTGTTGTCCTCTAGAAATACCCCTGAGTGGAACTGTAATGACAGTTGTCCATTTTCAGTCAGCACCAGCATATTATACCAACCCATCTGTGAATTAAGCCTAGATTCTTTCCTCTTCCACGATTGGTTGTAGGGAATCTCACCATGAGCTATAGGTTTGAGTTTTAGGAAAGATATTGATACAATAAAGATAGATGAGCGGGAGTCTTAGCCACTTGCAATTTACTTGTACCTTGTTGAATTACTTGGGCCCAATCACTAATGTACCATTTCCATAGATTGTGTTGCACCTGCTTGGACTTACAACACAGTGGATCAAACAATATCCAGCATATCATGGGCAGCTCTGGTCACATAGTCCTTGATATGAGTACTTAGTCCCTCTTAGGGTCTGGGTAGAATGTTGGGTATTGATTTTCAAACAGAAAGTTTTTCTGTGCTACAAAAACATGGCTTTACCCTCAAGTTCTAGGAGATTATGTTGCAACTCCCCTGTCAGGCTTGCCTGGTCCTGCACCCAGTGTTCTCACCTGCCATTGCTACCTTCGTTTACAGCCAGAGTGGGAGAGCAAGTGGGCCCAGAGCCTCAACTTACTGCAAACCCCTCTCTTGCTTTGGGCCCTGTATGAAGCCAGCAGCCATCTGAGTCATCTTATAAATGGTTCCCCATTTATATTATATACAAAAGGTGTTCCCCATTATCTCCTGCTTCTTCAGAGCCTAAAGAGGCCAATTTAGTGCTCGAAGGTGCAACTCTTTCTTATTTTTTTTAAAAGATTTTTATTTTTAAGTAATCCCTACACCCAATGTGGGGCTTGAACTTATAACCACCGAGATCAAGAGTTGCACACTCCACTATCTGAGCCAGCCAAGCTCCCTGGTGCAACTCTTTCTTAATAGGAGAAGGTACAAGATGCAACAGCTTGTTTTTATCTTAGAGATATGCTTTCCAGTAGAGTAGCTGCTAAACCCATGTGGGCTTTTTAATTTAAATGAATTAAAATAAAAAATACATGCAAATTCAGTTTCATAGTTTCACTAGCCACATTTTTTTAATAAAATAAAAAAAATTAATGTTTTTTTATTTATTTCTGAGAGAGAGAGACACAGTGTGAGCAGGGGAGGGTCAGAGACAGAGGGAGACACAGAATCTAAAGCAGGCTCCAGGCTCTGAGCTAGCTGCCAGCACAGAGCCTGATGTGGGGCTCGAATCCACAAACCGTGAGATCATGACCTGAGCTGAAGTTGGACACCCATCAACTGAGCCACCCAGGCACCCCATTAATAAAATTAAAAAAAAATGTTTATTCATTTTTGAGACAGAGACAGAGCATGAGTGGGGGAGGGGCAGAGGGAGAGGGAGACACAGAATCCTAAGCAGGCTGTAAGCTCTGATCTGACAGCACAGAGCCTGATGTGGGGCTCAAACTCATTGACTATGAGATCATGATCTGAGCCACAGTTGGACCCTTAACTGACTGAGCCACTCAGGTGCCCCATCATTAGCCACTTTCAAGTGCTCAATAGCTACATGTAGTTCATGGCTATTTTATTGGACAGCACAGATAGAGAAACATAACCGTGATGGCAGAAGTTCTATAGGGCAGCACTGCCTTTGGGGCTATGTCTGTACATGGCAGGTTAAGACTTGAACACAGGTCTGATACGATGTTAAAGGCCCATGCTTTTAATACTTCAGCAGGTTGCAGAGGGGCTAGTCCAAGCAGATGCTTCCCTGCTATTGTGTTCAAGGGTAACATGAGTTCTCCAATTAGATTTTTGTGTGACTGAGTTTTGGTTCATGTGAACCTTCTCTTTGCATTTCAACAGATGAAAAAAACACTTCATGTAAAGGCCAGGTCTGCTGTGGCAGTTTCCCACATCTAACCTCTATTTCTGGGCAACAGTTGACTCAGAAAGCAGTCTTCTTTTTAAAGGAAGTTTTCATAACAGCTCAGAAATATAAAGCCTTTCCAAAGAGGCAGGCCTAACTAGAATTGTGTGGCAGACAGCAAAATCTCTCTGAATGCCGCACTTCTGCATTTCCATCTGCACTCCATGAAAGGCCAGGATCATTGTCCCCACAGAATGCAGCTAAATGGCAGCTGGAGCATGAATGGACAGGAAAAACACTCTCCTCCCTCTAATAACACCACTTAGGGCAGACAGGCGAGATTCTCTTCTGAATGTGCTAAAGAGATGCTGTTATGATAAGAGTAATTATTATACATTAGTTAAAATCCCATTTAGGCAGCATTATATTGCTGCTATTTTAAAAGAGGTTTCCTAACCTTCCAAGTTGTAGGGAGAGATTAATTAGTGTCAATGGAAGGATCTCCAAGATAAAAACAAATTAAGCCTTCTCATCCAGCCTTGCCTGTGTGTCCTTGAGTTGCTGCTTTCTTTGTGACAGAGATAGTATTTGGTCTGATCTATTCTGGTTGGAGAGAAAAGAAGGGGATGCACATTTGCTGAAGGGAATCTGATGTGTCAGACACCATGATAGGTACTTTAAAAGAAGAAGGAATCTTTGAACTAGGATTTCCCATTGTCCCCACCAGCCCACCGGAGAACATTGCTAAACTGAAGCATTTGTACCTTAGTACTGTGTTTTTGGCATAAACTGAATCATCTATTTTGGATGACCCCTCCCAAGTCATTCCAGATGATTTACTTCTGCTTCATTCCAATGGGCAAAAGAAAATACGGGATTAAAAACACACGTCAGTTATTTGTTTCTTTTAAGTTCTTTCATGAATACTAAAGACATTTCCTTCAGGATTGATGGCTCAGAGGATATTTTAAAAATATGGCAGGACCAATACCTGCCTGAAGTAAGTATTACTAACTTTGATCCTTTGTCCAGTCTCACTGGCTATAATATCTCATAATCCCTCCCATCAAATATTTTGTTTTTTTTTTTAATGTTTTATTTTTTATTTCTAGGAGAGAGAGAGACAGCGTGAGAAGGGGAGGGTCAGAGAGAGAGGGAGTCACAGACTGAAACAGGCTCCAGGCTCTGAGCCGGCAGTCAGCACAGAGCCCGACACGGGGCTCGAACCCACAAACCGCGAGATCATGACCTAAGCGAAAGTCGGACGCTTAACCGACTAAGCCACCCAGGCGCCCCTCCCATCAAATATTTTGAACTCGTTGCCCAGATTTTCTGAGACAGACCTCATTTCATGTACTACAACTATTGCCAGGTAAGGCAAATTACTACATTTGTACCTACAGGCATTTTGATTTTTATAAGTTTATTTATTTAAGGGAGAGAGAGACTGAGAGAGAGAGAGAGTGCATGTGAGTGGGGGAAGGGCAGAGAAAGAGGGAGGGAGAAAGAGAGATTCTCAAGCAGACTTTGTGCTGTCAGCTCCGAGGCCAGTCTCATGAATGCTGAGATCATTACCTGAGCCAAAATAA